TCTACCAGTAAGTTAATAGGATCTTTGATGAATTTATAAACTGTTCATTGATTGATATATATAATTTTGTAGAATGCATCACTAGTTTTATCTTACATTTCATTGAGAAGAATTTTTTCATAGCAACTATATGTATTTTTATCCGAAAAAGTTTAATAAATAATTTGTCGTTTCAATCGAATAATACTCATCGTATTAGCTGATTATGGTTTTAATTTTTTAACATTCTTTATATTCCTAAAGGTATTCATATTGAGAATCTTGTGTTTTGGAATTTTTTGTCTAATATTCTACTCGCTTAGATATATTTTTCAGAAATTTTTGCAGATTTCTTTAAAATTCTCCTAATGATCTTTTTAAAATTCAATAGAAGATGCTAGATAAATGAATATTATTCCATTGAAATGATAAGTCTCCTATAAAACACTTGCAGAGGTGAAAGACATACTACTATTATGAAAAAGAATTCAAAATTGATGCAATACCAAAAAGCAGTGGAATATATTGATGTATTGCAAAGTATCTTCCTATTAGATAAAGCTCTGCCTTTTTTTCTCCTACATCGTATATTTCGATCAATTGCCGTTAATTTACTGATAGGAGTCGAAACGTTTCAATCACCTTTTATTATGTCTAAAAAATACATGAATAGTGATAGAGAAAAAGAAATCTTTGGTAGAACTTGAAAAGATCTATGAAAAAAAATAGAAGACACAGATCAAACAATTTGACTCAGTCACCTTTAGATAATCAGATCAAAATGAAGGATTTGTAACTTACCTCTTACCTTTTTTAACCAAAAATTCTAAAATATTGTAACCTATATTCATCGTAGAAATACAGCACGTGTAAAACAAGAAGTAAAATACCTGATGTTTGTGCCGTGTTGGAATGAATTATTAGTGTACCGATGACTGTAGCTATACTTATAATGATAGAGAATACAGAAACAGGTTTTGTTAGGCGTACGTAGTCTGTGGAACCATAAATCTTCTTAAAAAGACAACAGTTGACGAAATTAACTTAATCATTCACTGGACTCGTCTCTAAGTATGAGAAAGCAGTAGTTAAGAAAGAACACATCTTTGATATGAGCGCATAAGTAAATTTACAAAAATTATCACTTTTCAGAAGAATTTAAGTAGTTTGTTCAAATTTTGATCGATAAATTTACTAGCGATCAAATAATTTGCGCATAAATACAACATTGTATTGAAATAATTATTAAGATTACTGATTCAAATATTTCTTTGACTAGCGAATACTTCGGTAGGAGTTAAAAGATATGTTTGTTGTTTTTATTTTCAATGCATAGTTTTTCTAACTAGGGTGTGCGTATGAGTGTGGGTATGTGAGTGTTGGTGTGGGCGTGTGTATGGGTGTGGGTGCGGGTGTGGGTGTGCGGGGTGTGAGTGTGTGGGATGTGTGTATGGGTGGGTATGGGTGGGTGTGGATGGGTGTGGGTGTGGGTGAGGTGGGTGGGGTGGATGGGGTGGGTGTGGTTGTGGACATTAAACAAAAGAAGAGAAGTCCCTACCCACACCCACCCATACCCACGCCAACTCACATTCACACTCACACACCCATCCACACCCTACTTAGAAATGCTATACAATGGTACCCAATTACTGTGCATTTTCCAGCAGAATACTTGCCAAAGTACCACTTAAGTACCTGCAAGTACTTTGGTATCTAAACGTTCCTGTGACATACTGGTATCAGGATACTTTTTTGGGTACCCTTAACTCAGTATATTCTCTAGGAAGAGATAACCACTAGTATTGTTGTCTTCTAGATGCCATTCCTCACACATATAAGTACTATAAGAGAACAAACAATAATATTCGCTTTCTTTTTTTTACATACACTATATTTTTATGCTCTTGGATCAATTACTACATCTACATATTGTACATATGCTCAATCTTTTATTTATGACACCTAGTATATGTGGTATAAATATCAGGCCTAAACAACAATCTATAAGATAGAAATCGAAAAGAAATACTATTTTTCTTTACTTTTGGGCCACCCGGTATTTCAAAAGAAAAAGAAGAAACATTGTTTAATTCCACAAGGATCTGATAAAGTTGACACAGGTGGAATATTTATCTGTAAAAAAAAACAAATTTAAGGCAAATATAAGGATAAAAATATATTACAATGCTATTTTTTTTGTCAACTCATCCTTTCATGATGATTTACTTATAGTATATTAAAAGAAAAAAAACATATATATACATATACCGAAAAATTTTCAGTAAATTATTTTAGAAATTTGAAATGATGAAAATGTATTTGTATTTAATATCATTCATTCTATGTTATTATTCTGGTGAGTGTAGTAGTCAGCCGTATTTTCCACCTCAAATTGTTTTTTCCCCTGATGGCANACGACACACTTAATAACAAATTACAATTGTCTGAGTGCTGTTAGTTAAGAAAAAGAAATGAAATCTGAAGATCTTCGAAAAGTTGTTATGCGAATGATTGATGATGGCATGACATCGATACAAATTGTCAAACAATTACGCAATGTCGTTAGTCAACGTACGGTTAAACGGTGGCAATATATATATAAAACAAGTGAAATGGATTTGAAAACACGTGTCCTGAATGACCTAGAATTGTACGAACAAAAGATCTTATACAAAACGTGAAAGAACGACTGATGTATAAAGGTCGACGAAGTGCAAGACTATTAGCTACAACATTCGGTGTTTCTGGTAGTAGCATGCGTCGAATAATAAAGGATGATCTTCATTTATATGCTTATTGTATCATCACTGAACCAAAATTAAGCGATGATCACAAAAAAAGAAGAATGTCGTTTGCATATTGTGTGCGAAAGTCATTAAGAGAAGAAGATCATAGTAAGATTTTATTTACTGATGAAAAATATTTTTCATTAGAAGGTGTATATAACCGACAAAATGAGCGTGTTTATGCCACTAGTCGAAGGAGGCATAAAACAACAAGCCAAATATCCAAAAAGAATCATGTTTTGGTTAGGTACTTCAAAAAATGGTCTTATTTCTCCAATCATTTTTCAACCTGGTGAAAGATTATCACATAAAAATTATATTGAAGTCATTCGATGATGATTTTATCTTCCAACAAGACAATGCCACACCAAACACTCATCGTGAATCGTTGGCATGGTATGAAGAAAATTTCGAGCAATTTATTGATAGTCGTAGATGGCCACCAAACAGTCCCGATCTTAATGTTTTGGATTATTTCGTATGGGGCGCTATCATCAATAATATGCAATGGATCAAGGTTATAAATTATGATTCATTAATCGAGGAAATTAAAAAAGGAATTCGTCGTGTACCAATAAATGAACTTGCTCGCAGCGTTGAAAATTGGTCGCAGAGAATTTTGACCATTTTGGAAAAAAAAAGGTACATATATAAGATAAGTTGTTCTTTGTAAATTGCAGAGCTGTTCACGCTGCATCTTGTGGTCTATTTTGTTTGTTTTTTTCAAATAAAAGATTTTAGGTGGTAAATAAGAAAAAACGCATCAGTCATATATTGAAAAAAGGACTTTTTCGTAGCATCGAAATCTGGTCGCTCAGAATTTATTCGATTTTGAAAGCAAAAAGTGCAGCTATAAAGAAAGTGGTCTTGTGTAAACTGTAGAGCTTTTCACGCTGCGTCTCCTGGTATATTTTGTGGGTGTGGGTGCGGGTGTGGGTGCGGGTGTGGGTGCAGGTGTGGGTGCGGGTGTGGGTGCGGGTGTGGGTGCGGGTGTGGGTGCGGGTGTGGGTGGGAGTGGGGGTAGGTGTGGCTGCCAAAGTAGATATGAGTGTATTCAACGAACTACCCACACTCATACCCTTCTCCGACGTATAATTTGTCCTTTATTATGTTCATATATGTTTTCCTTTCTTTCCCTAAGAGGTAATATATCTTCAAGATCACTATCGGAAAACCTTAGTTGTCACCGTTTAATAATTGATGATTGATCCCGACTTCCTAGCAGCTTCTCAGTCCTTCATCTTATAATGGGTTTTGGTGCACTCATTTTTGACATCATCAAAGATGAAATCATTAATCAATTTGATAGAATGACGTTTCATATTTCTATCATATGTTCCTAACAGACAACTAAATATAGTATTACCTAAACCTATTAACGGCTATTGAACGTAATCTTATAGCAGAAAAACATGAGAAGAAAAAGTGGTGAATTATTTTTGCAAAATATTGTATCTTGGACAAATACGTAAGAGTACTGTATGCAACTGTTTGCAAGAATAAGAGTCATGCGTAGTATCGAACGTTTTGCTTTAAAACTTTTAAGAATTGTATTTCCATGCATGTGTTTACCACATGCAAATCTATCCATAAGCTATTGCCATGCACTTATGTGCAACAATTGTGAATATTTGAAATAGTTTGCATCTTTATGTATAAGATACAAGGACATGAGAAATATTTTGCAAGCAAAACATAAATTTTTGAAAATTTTCTACAATTGCACGCGTTTTTTAAGCTTTCGAATTTCACTGGAAAGTGTAACATACACTCAATGAATGTGAATATTATCATTTAAAATCCATTCATTTTTGGTTAATCTACAACTACCAGCATTTTTATGAAAATATACATGTCTATCATATCCTTTGAGAATGATATAATAATTTCAATAACTGTTTATTTCACTTTATTTTCGAGCTTTAGTATTCTTATGTGAAAATGTGAGATAAGTCTTACACAATGATTCATAGTATAGCAAAGTACTATCAATTCTTTTGATGAAATTTAAATTAAACTTTTTATTTAGTGTTAATATCTAATTACACTATAAAAAAAAATGATCACGTACTAGAAAGAAATCATTAATTTATATTCTAATAGATGTTATCCATTTCTTTATTACTACGTGGATTGATTTGTGCTGCATTAAGTTTTGTTAATTGTTGTCCATTGCTATCGAAATTTTTTCAATTCAACCAACGTTGAAATTCTTGTTTTAATTGTACCCATTCATCATCGACAATACTTTAACCATACATTATCTCTTGAACGACCTTTAATTACGGCTGATTTGATCCATGTACCTTCATATTGAAAACCTAATCGTAATGCTGCTCGTCGAGATTTGGCGTTCAATGCATTAAATTTCCATTCTACTCTTCTATAACCTAATATATAAAATGCATATTGTAATAATAAATAATTTGCTTCTGCAGCTGAACGAGTCCGTGATAATTGTGCACTAAAATTTAAACTTCCTAGTTCAATTGTATCATGTTCTTGATTGACTCTTAGAAAAGCAATAAATCCAACAGCAATATCATTAACTATAATACTATAGAGAATAGTATCACTTTCTCTCAAATTTATAAAATCTTTAAATTTATCAATTGTTTTAAATGGTCCATATGGTAAATAAATAAAATGAGTTTGTTCCGTTGGTTTAAATGCGTCATAAAGTAGTTGAATAGTTTAATTATTAGTTTTTGAATTAAGTAATTCAAGTCGACAATATTGACCTTGAAGAATGTGATATTGTGGATTAGCAAGAGGATGAAGACGAGGTGTCCAATTTTCAACAATATCACCTAGTGGTTGATCAATAGAAGTTGTAATGATTGAAGTTGGTGTCACGTCTTCCGTCATATTTGATTGTACTATGCAAAAATGAATGAAGATAAGAATGAATCATCAAGTGTTTCCTTATCTCTTTTTATATTCGGCATTAATTTCAACCAACCAAAGATACCTTCAAATGTTGGCATTACCCAGGTCGAACATGCACCCCCGTAAACGACCGTTTACGGAGAAAAACGGTGATATACGGACACCGTAAACGGATTCTGTATACGATAAGTATATAGGGAGCGAAACGGTCAGAAACGAATTCCGTATACGAAGGTCGTAAAAAAATA